AAATGGGCACCAACACCAGCACAGGGTGTTGCCTCCGCAGGGGGAAAATGATCCTGGATTTCGGTGTCGGTGGTAATCTTTTGGTCGCCTTGGAAGCCAGAATATTACCACCATCACCGAGATCAGGATCTTCTTCCCTCAGCGGAGGTACACCGCCGATATTGGTGTTGGTGTCAACCTCTAGGCCTGCGACAGGTGGGCCATGAAGGAGAGGTCTCCCGTCAGCGCCAAAAGTCGCACAGACCTTCAGCTCTCCAACCGCAAGCCGCAGCTGTGTCGGCGCTCCTGGCAAGGTCGCGAGTGACCTCCCAGCCGCGACTTGCGTGCAGATCAGGTGTCGCACCAGCGCCGGAAGCTCTTATAGCTGTTCGTCAGCCGTGCAAGCCGGGCAAGAGCTAAATCCTACATGTGTTCCTCCAGGGTGGTGTTAACGGGAGATAAGACTGGTTCTTCCTGCTCAGTTTATACAGTCCCTCTGGTGGACAGCAGCCTTGAGCCAAATTGCGACGGATGCTGTGCCCGTCGGGCTCGGTGGCAAGCTGCCGCCGGCGCGTTGCAAAGACCATGCGCCCAATGATCTTACTACTCTTAAGCCGGGCCCCTATAGGGGGGAATTTGGGCGAAACATACAACATACCCACCCACAAAAATCAAAAATGGTCACAGATGCTTAATAAAAAAAGTCGTCCCCAGACTATTGTTTGCCTATCCTTAAATATTCCGAACATCCCCCATGTAGATGGACAGGCCCGACTCAATACTACTCCCTGGCCCCTGAGGGCCGATGCAATACTACAGGAAGAATTTGGGCGACAAATGGAAACTACCCCCCAAATAATCAAAAATGGCCAGAAATGCTTCAACAATCGTCCCCATACCTTTGTTTTTCACCATTGTTGTATCTTCCGCCCCCACGAAAATCAAAAATTGTCAAAAACGCTTGATAAAAAGTCGTCCCCAGACTATTTTTTACCTATTCTGAATATTCCGAGTATCCCCCCCTGTAGATGGACAGGCCCGACTCGGTACTGCTCTTAGGCCCCCGAGGGCCGACTCAATACTACAGGGGGAACGTGGGCGAAAAATGGACAAGACCTACCAAATAATCAAAACATGACCAGAAATGCTTCAAACATCGTCCCCAGACTTTTTTTCCAACTATTTTTGTATCTTCCGCCCCCACAAAAATCAACAATGGTCAAAAACGCTTGATAAAAAGTCGCCCCCAGACTATTGTCTACCTACCTTTGAATATTCCGATTATCCCCCAAGTAATCAAACATGGAAAATACCCCCCAAAGAATCAACAATTGCCCAAATTACTCCAAAAATTGTCCCCAGACAATGTTTTACCTATTTTTTGATATTCCGAATACATCCCCCCTGTAGAGGGACAGGCCCGACTCCATGCTGCTCTCTCTGGCCCCCGAGGGCCAGCCCCCCTTAAGCCGAGAGATGCAACGCGCTTATTACCTTCGCTGCCACGAGTGTGCACGATCTGCACGCCTGTCGCTTGATGGCTCGGGCGGGCCGGCCCCCTTTGAGCAGGGACCGACCGTCCCGGCATTCCTAGAGTCCTACCGCGAAATGTTCCTAGAACCCGAAGATGTTCTAGGAACAAAAACGATGCTCTTAGAACATAACCCCGACGCGTTAAAACAGGAGTATCTCAGCCAGAGATGCTCTAGGAACATCTCGTGGAGACCACAAAAGGTTCTTAGAACATTGTTTGGTAGGGCTATAGGCGAGCCAGGACGCTTCGCCACTGCTTGATTGATGGCTCGGGCGGGCCGGCCCCCTCGCAGCGGCAGCCTCTGGAGAAGAAGTGCGCGCCAGCACTCGCTGTGTGGCAGAAGCAGCGCCCTCGCGGCCCACCAGGAAGAGACTCCTTCTCGCCCGCTCGGCAAAACCACTCCTTGTTACAGGGCAGTTTTTAATAATCTGATTCTTCAACAAAAAAAGGTTTTTAATACATGATTAATCTATGAATACATTCATGCATGAACGCATCGTCGTTTTTAATACTGAATACCTGCAATTATGATACATGATCCGCACACGGAGCATGTATCAAAAACGGCACTGTACGGAGCGGAGCCGCGTGATAGACATCTGATGAGCTGCGGTAGGGGCATTGGACAAGGAGCCTTTAGATAAGGAGTCCAGGGTCTGGAAGCTGGTGTAACACCACCCGAGGCTTGGCCATGGACACCACCGCCGCCCTCATCAGATAAGGAATCCTCCAGGGTCTGCAGCATCCTGGGAGAATTCCTCAACCAACGCCCCCACCGTATGACCCGGCACATCCGACTCAGGCTCGACGTGACGCCCCGTGACACCCGGGGGCGGAGGGGAGCCGAGCAGGTAGCCCAGGACACCCCAGGGCGGAGGGACGGCCGAGGACTCCTCCCACGACACTCGAGGGCGGGGGGACGGTCGAGGACTCATTCCATGCTATCCGCGGGCCGAGGGACGGCCGAGCTCTCCTCCCATGACACCCGAGGCCCGAGGGACGTTGAGCATCAGGGCTGTTGCGGTCCATATACACGATGCGTGCTGCGCTCGATCAGCGATATGCTCAGAGGCGCAAAGGTTGCAACATCGTGTATTGCTGTGCTCGTCTGTATCCTCGTGGGCTGCTTGCTCGCACATTCCAGAATCGACTGTCACGATGGGGTTCTACGCAGGAGTATCGCACTGACCCTCAGCATTCTGACCGCAGGCCACGGTGGTACAGTCGCGAATGAGCAGGGCTGTAAGGTGGCTTCAGCCGCAACTTGCGTGTTGGTCAAGCCCTCACCAGCGCTGGGGGGTCGCACTCACTGTCATCATCCGGACCGCAGGCAACGAAAGCACCGTCGCTCCTGAGCAGGACCGTGTGGGTCACCCCTGCCGCAACCTGCATGTAGGTCAAGCTCCACTAGCAGCGCCTGAAAAGCGCACTGAGCTTCAGCATCCGCGCCGTAGTCCACAGCGGTGCCGTCGCTCCTGAGCAAGGCCGCGTGGGCTACCCCTGCCGCAAACTGCATGCAGGTCAAGCTCCATTACCAGCGCCTGAAAAGCGCACTGAGCTTCAGCATCCGCGCCGTAGTCCACAGCGGTGCCGTCGCTCCTGAGCAAGGCCGCGTGGGCTACCCCTGCCGCAAACTGCATGCAGGTCAAGCTCCATTACCAGCGCCTGAAAAGCGCACTGAGCTTCAGCATCCGCGCCGTAGTCCACAGCGGTGCCGTCGCTCCTGAGCAAGGCCGCGTGGGCTACCCCTGCCGCAAACTGCATGCAGGTCAAGCTCCATTACCAGCGCCTGAAAAGCGCACTGAGCTTCAGCATCCGCGCCGTAGTCCACAGCGGTGCCGTCGCTCCTGAGCAAGGCCGCGTGGGCTACCCCTGCCGCAACCGGCGCGTAGGTCAAGCTCGGTTACCAAGGCCAGAGGGTCGCGCTGACCTTCAGCACCCGCGCCGCAGGCCGCGGCGGAGCCGTCGCTCCTGGGCAAGGCCGAGTCGCACCAGCCAGCGGCGAGTATCCACGAGAAGGCAGGCGGAAACAGCCCCCCGGGAGGGGTGGGCACCCGGGAGCCAGAGCCACGCACCAGCGCGCCGACGTCCCGAGGGCGTTCCGGCGGATATGACGCTCGGCGTCGTCTCCGGGGGCGTCCAACGATGGGGGCGTCTCAGACAACTGCGCGCGGCCTCCGAGAGCTGATATGTGCCTGCGCGGGTCGCTGCTCGCCCCGAGATATGTACGACCGCGGGCAGCGGGGGCGGCCAAGAGGGGGGCGTCCGAGAGGGGGGGGGGGCGCAAATCGCGGCCGGGGGCACGCGCGGCCCAGAGGGAGGGCGGGGACGCATCGAGAGAACAGGAGGCGCCATGACATCTGGGGAGGTATCATGCGGGGGCGCGCAAGCATGGATTGGCGATCCATGGATTCGGCGCGCGGTCGCCAAATCCATGGATCGGGGGAGGTGCCCTCCCCCGAATGCGGCCAGTGCCGCCTCGCTCGGCGGAGGAAATCCGCGGTTTGCCATGGAAACGGGGCCCGTCGCTAATCCACGCCCCCTTGATCGATGTTTGCGATCGCCGGAATGACATCTGGGGAGACATCATGTTCCCCCGCCATGATATCCCCCCCCAGTCGTGCCCCCCCCCCCCCCTCTTTGCCGCCCCCGATATTCGGCCTCCCCAGATCTCCGCCCGACGCCGCCACTGTTTCGCAACGCGGACCCACGGAGGACTGGCCCTCTCGTCAGCGTTTTTTTGTTCGGCGCTTCGACACTGGGCAGAGGGGGGCCGGGGGAGGGGGGGGTATCTGGCTCCAGTCCTCTGCTCAGTGCGGCTGTTTGCAAGAGTGCGTCCATTATGGGGGAGACTCCACCTGCTCGAAACAGGTTGCAAAAACAGCCCAGATCTACTCCATGGGGGGGGGTGGAAGGGGGGTGCGAGGGCCTGCGTCGACCGGCAAAACAATGAATAAAAAAACGAACACCTCTGGGACTGTTGTTTCATTCCGAGTTCTTTTTTGACTGTCCCGTGGCCCGGTGAGGGCCCCTGGAGGCCGAACGCTGCAAGACCTGCCGTCGTGAACTTCAGCCGCGAGTGCAAGGAGGTTTGGGTCTGTAGCCGTCTTCGCGTGATTTCGGGCGCTGGTCGTCCAACAAAAACAAAAGGAGGAGCAGGAAGAGGAGAAAGAGGCGGAGGGGGAGGAGTGGGAGGAGGAGGAGGAGGAGGGAAAGGAGGAGGCATGGGGGGAAAGGGATGGGAGGGGAGGAACCCGCTCCAGAGGAGCCACTCGCAACTAGACGCCCTCCTCCTCCTGCTCCTGCTCCTCCTCTTCCTCCTCCTCCTCCTCCTCCTCCTCCTCTTCCTCCTCTTCTTAGAGCAATTGTGAAGCGAGACGTTATCGGTGTGACTTGACTGGAGGCGGAGACGGATCGCAAAACAACCCAGGCACGGCATGAGTGGGTCCTCGTTCAGGATGTTGATCTGCTCGAGATTGTGTCTCTGACCAGCCTGAGCAGCGGCCACTGCATGGAGCAAGTAGGGGGAGGAGGATGAGGAGGAGGAGGAGGAGGAGATGAAGAAGAAGAAGAAGAAGAAGATAACGAGGGAAGAGGAAAACGATGATGATGATGATGATGATGCTGATGATGCTGATGCTGCTGATGATGATGATGATGATGAGGAGGAGGAGGAGGTGCGGAACAAAGGGGGGAGGAGAAGTGAGAAGGACGATGGCAGCAACGACGCAGCCACGTCGTGGTGATGATCCCTTTCCCCTCTCCCCATCCCCCCCGGGGAGCGCTCCGAGGCGGCCCCTCGACTCTCCAGGGGGCCCCTGTCGGCCTCGGAGGTCCCAGAGGCGGAGGCATCCTGCAGGCCTCTAGGACCAGCAACAGGGACTACCAAAAGGCGCCCCCTCGATCCCCCCCCCTCCTCGATCGCCCCCCCTCGACCCCTCCCCCTCCTCGATCCCCCCCCCTCCTCCCGATCCCCCCTCCTCGATCCCCCCCCCTTCTCGAACCCCCCCCCCTCCTCGACCCCCCCCCTCCTCGATTCCCCCCCTCCCCTCCGCCCTCGATGCGATCCCGCCCTCGATCCGCCCTCGATCCCGCCCCCCCGCTCCCGCTCCCCCTCTCGGTGCCCCCCCCCCTCCGCGCTTGGAGAGGGGGGGCGGAGGAGGCCGCCGAGAACGGCCGACCTTGAAATCGTTGTGGTCGTGCGCGGGGGTGATCTTCACGCACCCGGTGCCGAACTCCCTGTCCACCATGGTGTCCGCGATCACGACCATCTTGCGATCCTCCCGCCCGCGCACTCGAGGACAAGGAGGAGGCGGAGGAGGAGGAGGAGGAGGCAAACGAGGATCATATATGTTTTTTGTTTCCCTCTATATATATATATATATATAAAAATATAAATTCATATATATATATAGATAGATAGAGAGAGGTGTGTGTATGCATGTGTTAGTGTCCGTTGTTTTGATGTTGCCGGTGGTGGCTGAAGATGTATTATTATGTATGTGTACGGCCAGTTCAAGGAACCTGACACCTAACAGAACCCCTCCCCGCCAGGGAGGCGTCTACCCGCAGGCGCCACCTCCTTCCCGAAGCCACGATCCCTCGTGAAGATCATGGATTCGCGCTCCCGAGGCCACGATCCCTCTTAAATGCGACCTAGGGACGTACCCAACCCTTCTTTGAGCTCAATACAAACGAACGGCCATGTTGAACGTCCCGCAGTCCACAGTTCACACCCCCAAGGAAGCGCAAGGTCTCGACAGCGTCAGCGTGACACCCCACTCCGCTGGGCCTCCCAGGAGCCCATTCAAGTGGCGATAGTTGCGCAGTTCGCAGCCCCCATGGAGCCGAGAGGCCTCAACGCGGTCCCTTTATCATTGCACTCCGCTGGACCTCCCAGGAGCCACGCACCTGGCGACAGTTGCGCAGTTCGCAGCCCCCCCTGAGACCCGCGAGATCCCAACGGGGTCCGCGTGACAACTCCACTCCGCTGGACCTCTCAGGAGCTCACGAACGTGGCGACAATTGCGCAATTCGCAGCCCCCCCTCCAGGGACCCGCGAGGTCTCCACGCGATCCGTTTATAACGGCACTCCGCTGGACTTTCCAGGTGCCCACGAACAGGGCGACAGTTGCGCAGTTCCCAGGGCGCACCCCCCGGGGCCCACGAGGTGTCAGCGCGATCTGTGTACAACTCCACTTCGCTGGACACCCTAAGGGCCCACGAGAGTGGCGACAGTTGCGCAGTCCGCAGCCCCCCGCCCCCCCCCCAGGGAGCCGCGAGGTGGAAGACGAGGGAAGCAGGCAGCGATAGGCAGGAGGAGGACAAAGAGGAGGATGAAGGAGGGAGGCGAGGAGAGGAGGAGGACGGGGCGTCCACATTGCTCTATTCAAAACGACAAAACGGATGGTTGGGAATAAAGCAGGGGGCAGGAAGGGGGAGAAGGCGACAGGAGGAGGAAGAGAGGACGGTATGGGTTGGAAGCCACAATACTCTATTCAAAACGAGAACCCAACACGGAGGGTTGGGAACAATGAATCCAAGTCCTGAGCTTCCAAGACGGCCAACGCACGCAACCAACAAACCAAGATGGCACAAGACCTTCCGGCGGCTCAAGACGGCCCAGGTGGCCTACGATGGCCCTGAGACTGCCCTAGACGGTTGCCCCCAACAGTGCCCCACGATGGCTGTCCACGATGGCCCAAGGGGCATCCAACACAACCCCAGGCGGTCTCAAGACGGCCCAAGAGAGTCCCCCGTGGGACCCAATACTGCCTTGGAAGGACCTTCGACGGTCCAAGACGGCCGCATGATGGCCCCCAGACGCCCACCACACGGCCCAGAGAGCCCACGACAGCCCAAGAAAGCCCCAAGGCGGCGCAAGAGGGTCCCGAGGCGGCCTGGGAGGGCGCGGAGGGACCCCCACGACTGCCTCACAGTAGGCCCAGGCAGCCCTGAGACGGCCCAAACGAGCTCCATGTGAGCTCCTCAAACAATGCGTAAAGGCAACAGATGTTACATGAGACGGCCTTCCTCCTCCTCCTCCTCCTCCTCATCCTCCCCCTTTCATCGTCATCATCACCATCCTCATCCTCATCCTTATCCTGCTCATTGTCGTCAAGCTCATCAAGACCCTCCTCCTCCTCCTGCTCCTGCTCCTCCTCCTCCTCCTCCTCCTCCTCCTGATCATCATCATCATCATCATCATCATCATCATCATCATCATCATCATCATCAACATCAACATCATGATAGTATGAACAGTCCCCATCAGCATCATCACCATCACCATGACCAACAAGAACAACGTCAACATCAACATTAGCATCCTCATCGCGGATCTTCCAATCCTGGAGACACGAGGCGTCACACGTGACGCCCACCAGCGCCCCTTCGAAGAGTCCCCACCCAGAATTCCAGGCTGCCACGGTGGCGGGACTTGCCACTGGCAGCTGGATGCGTTTGAATGCGTGTGGCCTGCATCTTTTGGAGGACAGAGTTGTACTTCCGCCGGCTTTCGCCCGACTTCTGCAGGATCTCGCCAGCAAGGCCACCCCCCATTTACGTTCGCGACTTTCCGCAAGCCTTCCGCCGCCTTGCGACGAGGAGTATATAAACTGTTCGATCTACATATCTACAGCTGTGTGTGCATGTATACATGTATACCTGTATTTCTCTATATAGAATCATGCATATACGTCTGCGCCACATTCACGGATGTACGCATGCACATCTGTCAACGCATAAGATAAATTGTCCGCCGCTGTGTCTTTGAGCACGGAGAGGGCGTGTCCTCATTCCTGAGGAGTCTTCAAAAGGCCTGGACTCCAAATTCCGAAAACTCTGGGGGCTTCCCGCGTGCCACCTGGGCTCGGGGAAACGTTCTCGCATACATTTGGCTCAAAACGGCCCCTAGATGGCCAAAGAGGCCTCCAAGACGCCCAAAGGGGCCTCCAAGAGGCCGCCCGGGAGGGCACCAAGAGGCAAACATCAATGATTTCCCTCCGTTTTTTCTTTTTGGCCGGCCGCCTTCGCTTTGTCTTGGAATAGGGCAGTCGGGCGCGAGCTTGGCTGACCGCGCGCGGCCGGCTGACCACTGCCGGTGCTGGCCGGGCGGCCAGCCTACAAAAACCCAGCCAGGCCGACGCGAGGACGAGCACGAGGGCAGGAGAGGGGTGCGGGTGGCGAGCCGCCCCCGCGCGCGGCGCCCGCCTCGGGTTTGGACACGCCCGACTTAGGATGCTCCAACCTACTTCAGCCTTAGCGTGGTCCTCAAGTAGGATGGCGACAACACAACGCCCCGTGCGTGCCGGTCAGAGCTTGCCGACCGTGAGCATGCGGGCCAGGCCCGCCACGAAGAAGAAGACGAAGAAGACCGCGAAGAACAGGCCTGCCTTGTTGAGCTCCTGCTCCGACCACGCGGCCGCTGGCTCGGGCACCGCGGCGGCGAGGCCGCCGTACGCCGCGGCGGCCGCCGCGGCGCCGCCGCGCAGCGCGGGCACCTCCGAGGGCGCCGCGGGAGGCACGAAGGCGACGGTGGACGCCAGCGCCGCGAGGCCGAGCACGGCGGCGACCAGCAGGGGGGCGGAGGTGCGGGCCATGGTCTGCGCGGAAGGTATCTGCAGCGGGCTCGTTTCGCTACGGCCTGCGAGCTGGCTTCCGACAACAAAAAACTTGAGCCAAAATGGCTACGGAATGATTTCCCTTCGGTTTTGAAATATGTTGGCGTTCTCGCCTTTTCGGCTTACCGACGCTCCCAGGCGGCCCCAAAGGCACCCACGTCTGGCCCAAGACGGCCCAAGAGGCTTCCGAGAAGGCCCCCAAATGGCCCAAGAGGACACCACGATGGCCCAAGAGGCGCCCAAAACGGCTCAGGAGGGCCTCAAGAGGGCCTCCAAAGGGGCCCAAGGAACAAGAACCGAAAATCCGAGTCTTCCGCCCCAACAGGCGCCCAGGAGGCACCAATAGGCGCCCAGCAGGCCCCACGAGGCCCCCAAGAGGCCCAGGCCCCAAAACGGCCCCCAAGAGGCGTCCAAACTGCCTCCAAGAGGCCCCCGAGAGGCCCCCCACGAGATCCCAACGAACATCCAATAGGCGTCGTACCCACAACCCAGGCACGTGGCGGGGTGGGCCGAAGGCCGTTCGATATGTTCAAATTGACCAATCCCTCGAAGACGAGGTCTCTTCTGGAACGCCACACACACATCTATGTGTAAACACATGTATATACAAGTATGCGGTGATGTATGTGTGTCTGTATATATATATACGAATGAGTGTGTACGTGTGTGTATGTATGTATGTATGTATGTATGTATGTATGTATGTATGCATGCATGTATGTATGTATGTATGTATGCATGTATGTATGTATGTGTGTATGTGCGTATGTCTGATGTATGTTTGTATGTATATTTGTGTGTATGCATGTATGCATGCATGCATCTACATGTGTAGTTATGCATGCATGCATGTATGTATACATGTACGTATGTATGTACGTACGTACGTACATATATGTATGTGTATGTATGTGTATGTATGTATGTATGGATCGATGGATGGATGGATGTGTAACGCTATGCTAGAGATGTATGGGATGTATGTGAACACAACTGTATCGATGTATGTGCACACAAGGGCACACACACATGAAAACTCGGAGGTCCGCGCGGATTTCTCGGATCGGCGCTGGGGCCCCCCAGCGGCGCCTCCGGCGCCGCCCCTGGAGCGCTCCGCGCTCCAGGGAGGGGGGTCCAACGCGAATCCGAGGAATCCGCGCGGACCTCCGAGTTTTTATGTTTATGTCACTTTTTGTTCCCCTAAGCATGGTCACCTCACCTGCACGAAGTGTTCGTCAGCGTGGACACCAAGCCGCGTGCTTTCGCGAGCTACGTGGCGCAACCCGCGAGGCGCAACGGATGTGGTGCAAGCTACGTGGTGCAAGATGTGCGTGGTGCAACTGATTTCTTACATGTGCAAACGAGCTGACACGTTCCATGCTCTTGCAAACATCCCACCCACCCACCCGCAACCCGGAGACATGCGCGCGCGGCCGACTCGCGCGAGTGTCCCTCGCTGTATTATTTGACACGGATCGCGCTCCCCCCCCCGCCCCCAGCACGTGCGCGTTGGCGCTCGAATGAGTTCGACATGCGACATGCGGCGCGAGTGGGCCGTTTGGCAGAGTTTGATGGACATGTAGGGAAACCTTTGATTTTCTTGAGAACCCGCAAGGGCGCGAGCGCAGGACGTTTCGCAAACTGATGTTGCAAAACCGTGTTGTTTACATATGTTTTCGGGGCACCCGATCTTGAAATCCTTACGACACTGAACAATGTTTCAAGGATTTTGGCATGCGCGCGCGGCGACGCGTTCGCGCGCGTGCATTTCGTCACATCTGCGGCAAGGGAATATTGCGACAGCACGCGCGCAAGGGTGTTCGAACGATTTCCATACGCACGCGCGAAAGGCCAATTTGAAAATAGTATTAGATTATTGAGCATCATGTTTTCCTTAGGATAGTTAGAAACAGCGCAACGCGATGACGCGCGCGTGCGACCTTCGTCCAATTGTGTTGTGCGGGATCCTTGGAAACTGCTGGCTTTTGATGCAAGGGAGCGCGCGCATAGTATGTTTTGCAGAGGATGGCGGGGAGGGGTCAATCCGGCCTGGCTGGGAAAGTACGAGCTCATATATAGGATGGGCGAATGGTCAGGGTCACATCTGAATTCGGAAGCAAAACCACCAAGCGATAAGTCGGGGGGGGGATGGGAGTAGAATCGAATTTCCTTCAACAAAGGAAAAACCTATGTTGAGCAATGCTTGTGGTGAAATCTAGCGCAACCTGCGTGGTGGAATCCATGAGGTGTTAGGGATGCGGTGCTGATGATCATGAAAACCTGCGAGACTCGCCCAACCAAACCTGCAACAAGCATGCGGCGGCGACCGGCGACCACACATAGGGGAACAAAAAGCGACATGAACATAAAAACTCTGAGGTCCGCGCGGACTTCTCGGATCGGCGCTGGACCCCCCTCCCTGGCGCGCGGAGCGCGCCAGGGACGGCGCCGGAGGCGCCGCTGGGGGGCCCCAGCGCCGATCCGAGAAATCCGCGCGGACCTCCGAGTTTTTATTATGTTTATGCCACTTCTTACTCCCCTCATGTAACCAGCCTCGAACGTGTCCCTATCCCCAAAGATGGGCGAGCAACAAGCGAGGACAACCTTAGGGACAGGCCCTCAAAAACTGAGGGAACCCTTAAGATCGGCATCGAGGTGAGGTGATGTCAAACATGGGGATAAGAATCTGTTCCAGGCTGGTAATACTGCTGGGAGCAGGGGCGGCGACGGGCGACCACCCAGGCCGGCCGCACCGGCGCCCAGGCCCGGACGGATGGCGGCGGCGGGCGGCGGCGGGGCTGCGACGAGGCTGCGACGAGCGGCGGCGGGGCGGCGACGGGGCGGCCACGAGCCGGCCAGACCCGCGACGGGGCGGAGACGGGGCGGCCACAAGTGCGGGCAATATCTATATCCATATCCAGTGCGTCTTGGACTTTCTTGGAAGGGGCGCCGCAAGGCCGAGGCGCACTGGATATGGATAAGAATTGAGCCTTTTGGAGGCAGATTATAATCCATATCCGGTGCGCCTCATGTTTCTTGGGAAGAGTGTCCGAAACTACAAGACACACTGGATGTGGATAAAGACATTGCCCGCAACAAGCAGGCTGCGTCGGCGCCCAGGCCACGTTCCTAAGCGCTCGCCGACCCAACGGGCCAGAGGCGTGCCAGAAGTGCCGGCAAGAACTCAACAAAAATGTTTCCAGCTCGCGGCGCTCGCGCTGGCCCCTGGGGGCCCCTGGGCGAAAAAAAAAGCCTGGGCAAGGTCCCGGCAGGGTCAGAGCTGCCGGAACTCCTGGGCGCGGCCTCGGGGGCCCCCGGTGCGCCCCATGAGGCGCCCAATGGGTGGCAGGCCCCACGGCTTCAGGCCGAGAGCGTTTCAAGATGGCCCACGTTGGTCCCAAGACGGCCCAAGAAGCGCCCAAGACGCTCCAGGAGGGTTCCAAGAGGACTTCGAGAGGCTCGGAAAACGCAATCATCATCGATGTTGCCAAAACGTTTTCGGACGATCTTGGCGGCACCGCATTTTCGAGCTGCCGACCACCCTGGACGGCCCAAGAGGCACCAAGATCGCTCCAAGGCGGCCCAAAAAGCCTCCGAGAGGGCCCCCAACGGGCCCAAGATGGTCCTACCAAGGCGCCCCGAGAGGCCTCCATGGCCCCACGAGGGGGCCCGGAGGGGGAACCCGAACGAACACGTCGAGCTCTCGGCCCCAAGAGGCGCCCAAGAGTTGCCCCCAGAGGCGAGGCCCCCAGGACCCCCAACAGGATCCCAGGAAGCCCCAGCAGGTCCCCAAGAAGCCCCCCAAATGCTCCCCCAGAAGCCTCCAAAAAACTGCTCCCCAGAGGCTCGCGGGGGCCCTCCGAAGAGACCCAGAGAAGCATTCACGAGGACCCTGACCCACAGTCCAGGTTCGTCTCGAAACTCTGATGGAGCTCTTCTGAGCCATCTCGGCGCCCTCTAGGGCAGTCGATCGGCTCTCTTCGACAGGGTGGGATCCACATCTCCAAAGATCTGATCGAGGACATTCCTGCCTGCCCACCTTTCCCGCTGGGCATGAGCACACCACCCCGCAGCCACAGTGATGCGAAACGGGCCGACAGAGTGAGCGAAGCGATCCGCAGCCCCACCGGGTGCGGCGTGTGGGACCCCACCGCATGGTCTGCAAGAGTATCTTCTGTGTAGACGCGCGCGTTCCACTACTCGCAAAGTAACTACTCGCAAATGGCCTGGATCCGCCGCGGGGGATCTACGATAAATTACATCGAATCAGACATGCGGTTTCCGGACGTTTGCGAGTAGGCACTTTGCGAGCAGTGGAACGCGCTCGGTGACTGTGAGTCCTCTCACTCATGCACTTCTCATACCAACCACTGCCTCGGAGCCCTCACAACCCCTCCAAGGGTCATGTCGCTCCCATCGTACTTAAGGACCACATCCCAGAAATAAGTTCGAGCACCCAGAAGAGTGTCGAAAGAGTGTCGAAACAGTGTCGGACGAGTGTCTCCCAGGGCCCGACACGTGAAGACCATTTTTGAGTTTCGGTACTTCTTTGGTGCTCGAAGTTCTTTCTGGTGATCAAGGCTGAAGTAAGTTGGAACACTCGGGAGCGGCCAAGAGGGGGGTGCCCAAGAGGGGGGGGTGCAAATCATGACCGGCGGCACGTGCGCGGCCCAGCGGGGGGGCCAGGGACGTAATGAAACAAGAAGAGGCGCCATGAGATCTGGGGAAACATCATGGCCCCCGCCATGATATCCACCCGCCCCGAATGTGGGATGACGATTAATAAAAAAATGTGAGAGAACGACTTAAAAAACAGTTTTCTGCAATTTCTGCATAATTTTCTGACTGGAAAAGAAAGGTTAATAAACAAAAAAACATGATTTTCCAGCCCGCTGCCGGTTTTTTCTAATCGTCATCCCGGGCGCCGCCGCGTGAACACGACCCCCGGTCATTTGTTAATCGTCATCCTCCATTAGTCATCACCCCCCTCTTTGCCGCCCCCGAAACACCATACTCCAAGGGTCCTCCCCGGGGCCCGCTCCTTCCGCCCGCCCGGGCGCCCCCACCGCGGACCGGCCGCCCTCTGGCCGCCGCTCCCGCCTCCAAACGCCTCCCCTGTTTTTGTCGGGGTGCCGCCGGGCGCTCTCGACTAGCCAGCCTCGAACGGATCCCTATCCCTAAGATTGACACGCCAAAAGGCGATGACAATCTTAGGGATCCGCCCTCGAAAAAGAAAGGACAAAATAAGGGAATCCCTCAGATTGTCGTCGTGATGAGGAGATGCCCAACATAGGGACAAGGATATGTTCCAGGCTGGTAATCAACGACCTCTCCGGAAGCACACTGGGCCAAATTGGGGCGCCTCTCGGGCCCCTGCTGGCCTCATCTTGACCGTCCTTCCGCCTCCCTTCGGCTGTTCCGGATGCCTCCGGACGTCCCTCCGCCACCCTTCGGCTCACACAACCCAGGACCCCCTAAGCGAGCAACCGCATGTTAAAGCACCTAGGATTTTGACGATTCTGGCTTTCTCGGGCTTCTCCTTGCGCCTCTCTTGGAGCTCCCCTACAATTTTGCGGGCTCTTGCGGCCAGCTTCCATCCTGCGGATGCTCTCTGCGGCCGTCCTCACAGCTTCTCGGGGCCCTCCTCGGCCATCTGGGCGCCTTCTTGGCGCCTTGTTCGGCCGTCTGTGGCCCCCCCTGTGAGCCCCCTGGGGCTCTTCCAGGAGCCAAAAGCTAACTGGGGGTGTTCCTTTCTGCCTCTTCGTATCTCTCTTCAGTTTGGTCCGCAAGTGTCTCAACCTTTGGCTGCTCTTTTCAGTGCTTGTTTTTTGTTTCGCAGCTTCCTCGAGCCCTCTTTGGCAGCTTCTCGTCGTTGTCGTAAGCCCTCTGGGACCGTCTTCGATCCCCCTCCCGCCATCTGGGATCATTTCAAATTCCGGTTCGGAGATGGTTAGAGGTTTGTGTCCCTCTGGGGCCTTCTTAGACAGCCCCCTCCCCCCCTGTGGTGTGCAAATGTTGTGGCGTTTTGCGAGACCCTCTGGGGCCATCTTTCACCACCCCCTCTCTCCCTCTGGCACAATTTCAATATTGCCCTCCTTCTCCCCGACCAAGCCTCCCAGACTCTCCACGTTCCCCAAAGCGTCGGCCAGCGGTATGCGGCCCTGTGCTCTTCTACGGCTTCGGCGTCAAACACACACACACACACACACACACACACACACACACACACACACACACACACACACACACACACACACACACACACACACACACACACACACACACACACACACACACACACACACACACACACACACACACACACACACACACACACACACACACATACACACACATACACATACACATACACACACAAACACACACACAAAACACAAACACGCACGCACGCACGCACGCACGCACGCACGCACGCACGCACGCACGCACGCACGCACGCACGCACGCACTCACGCGCGCACGCGCGCACCGCGCGCACACGCGCGCACACGCGCGCACGCGCGCGCACGCGCGCGCACGCGCACGCGCACGCGCACGCGCACGGCACGCGCGCACGCGCACGCGCACGCGCACGCGCACGCGCACACGCACACGCACACGCACACGCACACGCACACGCACACGCACACGCACACGCACACGCACACGCACACGCACACGCACACGCACACGCACACGCACACGCACACGCACACGCACACGCACACGCATACGCACACGCACACGCACACACACATATCTCTGCTTCGTCTCTTCTCATGCCACGCCGGAGACTCCTGGAAACACACGCGCGCAATCCGATACCCCGCGCAAGCCTTGTTTACACGCTTCCTCGGTGACTGCGTGCCCTAATGCAATCGCTGCCTTCGGAAACAAAAAAAAAAAAAAAACATTGTCGCCTACAGGCCACAATGGATACACCTGTACGACTTTGCGTCCCTTTCAACTACGGCAGTCAGATGTACACTTACATGGTGCGCTGCAGGCCACTTGAGCCCGTGAGGCAGGGATTGTAGCAAAAACGGCCCGCCTCAAAGGTCACAGACAAACGAGCCCAATGAGAGGCCCTTCAATGGCCGCCCCCAGGAAGTCTCTGGAGGCCACTCAAAGGCCCTATCACTAACAGGCGCTCGCTCCTCTCTCCATATCCGTATGCGTCGTCGGTCCCGCCCGTAGTTTTCGACACCCATGGGCCCCATTCGGCTTCATTTCCAAAGCCTCATGCGGCCTTGTTGGGCCGTCTGTTCGACTATGTTGGACTCTATGGCGCCGTCTTGGCCTCCCCCACTCCCACGCGACCACGATCCAAAAAAATTGGGGCGGCTGTGTCTGCCCCTCAGGGGCGTTCAATTGAATAAGAACCCCTCATTGCAAGCACTGCTTGGAGAATTAGCAAGATAAGCTCTGACATAAACATAACCTGTTGGAGGTTCGCACGGATTTCTTGAATCGGCGTTGGGACCCCGTCCCTGGCGCACGGACCGCACCGGCTTGGATCGGCGCTGAACAACCCACCCTGGCGTACGGAGCGCACCAAGGGCAGAGCTGGGGGCGCCGTCAGGAGGAACAACGCCGATACACGAACTCCGCGCGGACCTCCGAAAGCTTTTCTTCGTCGAGTCGCTGTCCCTGACTCCCTCAGGGTCCCTATCCTGTATGGCGGGGACGGTGGAGGCCTCCCAAATGGGGTCCGAGTGGATGGGGTCGGAGAATCGCGTCGCATCGCCGTTGCATCGCCGATGCATCGGTGACGTCGCCGATGTATCGGCGACGTCGGAGTGGAGAAAATATGGCTCCAAATCGAGCCCCGAAGACCGAAATCGGAGAAAAGCCTCCGGCGCGATTTCTCCGATCTTCCTGCTTTCGCCGTCGCCTCCCCCTTCAAATATCGACCCCTGTAGCATCGGAAGGCCAGAAGAACATCCCTCAAGAACGCAGGACATCCAAGGGCATCCTCCCGAGGACGCACAAAAAAAGCATTGGGGTACCCTCCCCGAATCGACCTCGATCTCATACCTCGATATGACTGTGCCCGTGCGTGCGTGCTGGCGACGTCGGCGATGCATCGGCGACGCCGGGGTGGAGAAAGTCTGGCTACAAATCGAGCCCCGAAGTCCAACATCGGCGGCGCGATTTCTTCGTGCCTCCTGCCCCTTCACCGTCTAGGGAGCCGAGACAGGACGTGCGCGCCCAGCTATGTACATGAATCCGGCCCCTCGATCCGCGGGACTGGCGGCGTGATATGAACATTTGCGCAATGCGCACTCTCGAAACCAGCGTGGATTCGTGTACGTACGTCCTTTTTTCGCCCCTTCGCCGTCATCCCCCCTTCAAATGATCGGCCTCGAGCTTATGCCTCGGGCCGACCTGCGCCTGTCCTGGCGTGTGCTCGGGCCAAGAAGTTCCGAGCGGCGGAGCCACCACGGGCGGCAGCGAGGAGCCTCGAGCGGCGACGACAACACAACAAAACGCGAAGGGCACTCCCGGCGCGAACCTCCTCCCCAGTGAGGGGGGAGGAGGGTCCTGTATACTCCACGAGGGGGATTCTCGATACTCCAGGAGGCCAACAAGGGGGAATGCCACGATCCATACAGAGGAGGACGAGGAGGAGCAGGCAAGGAGGCAGGGGGAGAGACGAGGCGGAGGACCAGGACAAGGGGGAGGAGGCGGAGGAGGAGGAGGAGGGGGAGGAGAGAGGGAGGGAGGAGGGAGGAGGGCGGGAGGGAGGAGGGGAGGAGGGAGGAGGAGCAGGGAGGAGGGACGAGGGGAGAGCGCCCAAGAGCACGGCCCCCTCCGGGAAGAAGGGGTGCACCAGCTCTTTGCCGTGGTAGGCCTTGTAGCGGTCGTCGTCGGGGTGCACCGCCACCGCGGAGTCTCCTCTCGCCGACAGGGCGGGCCGGAGCATCGCGCTCGGGGGGGGGGGAGGGAGGGGAGGGGACAGCTAGCTTTAAGTCGGGCCTGTCCCCCTATACAGGGGGATTTTCGACGAAAAATAAAGAATACCCCCAAACATAATTCAAAAATAGTCCAAAAATAGTCTGGGGACTATTGTTTGAATATCTTTGACCTTCTTGTGGTATTTTTTGGGTATGTATTTTTCGTCGGAAATCCCCCTGTAGGGGGACACGCCCGACATAAAGCTAGTTCTCCCCTCGTCGCGAGAAATCGTCTCGGGATGCATGACGAGATCGGGAGAAGGACGCTGTAGTCCTCGGGGGTTCGCGCTGCGAAGTAACACACACGGCGTCGGAACTCGGGGGGGAGGTGGTGGGAGAGGGAGGAGAGGGGAAGAGGAGGGCGACGGGGGGGATGCGGATGAGGTGCTGGGGAGTGAGTTAGGAAGGAGGAGCCTTCAAGATCCAGCATCGAGGCTCAGATGGTCAAGTTTTTTGAGCTTCTGGTCAGAACGCACCCCTGAAATGGTACAGTGGCAATAATTTCCCCAGGAAGAGGAGGACCAAGAGGAGAATATGATGATGATGATGATGATGATGATGATGATGATGATGATGATGATGATGATGAGGAGGAGGAGGAGGATGATGATGATAATGATGCTGCTGCTGATGATGATGATAATGTTTCTGATGATGCTGATGTTGATGCTAATGCTGATGACGATGATGATGACGCGGCTGCTGATGATGATCATGCGTTAATGATGATGACGGTGAGGACGAGAAGGAGCAGCACGAACGCCAGCACCCATGATGTCCACGAGTCGCACGACGCTGACCGCCTCTCACTTCTCAGCCGCACAGCGGCGCCGCGACCTGCGGAGGAACTGTAAATCAAAGGCTCGGTGGTGCTTGCCACGGCTAGTGGGCGATGATGTTCGCCGGTGACCTGCATGCGGTCTCGGGCCGCTCGAGGACATCACCAAACCCCGAGACGCCGAGGGCAGACCAAACGTTAGAGTCCATGTCTTCCGTGGATTGACACTCGCAATGAGGCGGTTCTTCTCTGGCGAGGCTGCGTTCCGCTAGCGTCGACGTTGCGGAAGTTGCTGAAACGACGGTGTCACCTGCACTCGAGAGGCTGCGATCCTCGAGGCACTGCTCAACGGTTGGATGTATGCGCCAGACGTGTGCTGCGAATGTGGGAAAGACGTGCCAGCCGTGCCACCGTCTGCGGCAGTCTGCCCCCCCTTCCCTCAGCGACCTGGTACGCTACGCTACTCCATCCGAAGCCCATCCAGTGTAGCACTGGGCAGTGTGCGAATGACAGCGTCGCTTGGAAAACAGGCCACTGCGTGGCGCCGAGATATGGTCAATCATACTGTCGTTGCAGCCCTGGCAACCGCACCCGCAACGCAATTGGCGAAGGCAGGGTGTACCCGGCAGAAGGTGGTCAGGCCTCCGCCAACGTGCGGCAATTGGCCCGCAAGAGGCCAGGAGAGGGAGCGGGAAGCTGGCAGGTGAAGGATGAGGGCGGCGGCGAGGGGCACGCGACCCTGGTATCCAACGAACAGCTGGAATCGAAGCAAGCGCGGCCCCTTGGAAGACGGCTCCAGCGCCAGGCGGGCACGCTGCGAGCTGTCATCTGTTGGAATAAAAAAACGACTTGGTGGTCAGTGCCATGGTCGCTGGTGGTTCGTGAAGTATGCATGGGAAGTTAGTCGCGATCCAAACAGGCCAAGCCTAGCCACCATTTCGTAATCTGCATGGTGGTTGGCTGGTTTTGCGGAAGGTCTAGACAGGACTGCCGCCCAGCGAATCGCCGTTTTCGATTACAAAGCATCGGTTAAGAGCTTGAGGCTGGCGTTTTGGAATTCTGGTATGTGTTTGCGCACCAGCTCAAACGCCAACGCCCCACCTGCCATTCCGAATATTAGAAGATCGTTTGGCTGAGACGCTGAGAGGGAGCCAGAAGGGGAAGCCGGAAGGAATAAGAGGAAGATAACAATGCAACGATCGTGCGCGAGCAATGCTGGGGAGGCGGGAGTGGCAAGGGCAGCCACAAGCGAGCAACCACACGGGGCGCGCATGGGGGGCGGGCGTGGGCTGACGGCAGCGGCCAGCCCTTGGCCCGGCCAGCGCCCACGGGCATCCTCGCGGTCAACGGTCGGCGAACGCGCGTCAGGCCCTGGGCCCCGGGGGGGGGGGGGGGGAGCTGGCGGCCTGAGGGGGGGGCGGAACGGGAGCGGCGGGGATGGCCGCTGACACCGCGCAGCCTCCAAGAACTGGCGCCAGTGCTCCAACCAGCCCTCGGCGGCGGCGCCGTGCGCGATTCCTGATGCGGCCAGAATCGGGGATGGACAGACCCCCCTTTAGCAAAACGTGGTTTAGTGAAAACGACCTGAGGCCCAAACCTGGCAGGCGCAAGCCTGGAAAATAACGGCCACGGCGCCCTCTCGAAAACCGAAGACGGACAATTCACTAATCGACGTGTCACTGTTGGGGGTTCTGTCCACCCCCGACAGAACGCCGCCCTGTAGCCTGGAGTCGATTTCCTTTTCTTTTTGTTTGAGCTCCACGCTCTGTCCGCCACGTTTAGCGAGGCACCCTAGGAGCCTGGAGTCGGTTCCGAAGCCCGAAGCGCCTGGGGCGCGGGCGCGGCACCGCGCTGGCTGTTGCACTTCGCCCGTGCTCCACTGCAGCGCTGGCGCGGTGGCGGAGTTTGCCACCGGACAGAGTGCCACTGCCCCGCTGACGACCCCCCCCCACGGCTTTCCTCGTCCTCCCCCCTCCCGCCCTCCTCTATGTCATCCACCTTTGTCTCTCCCCCATCCCTCGTGCTGGCCCTTGTCCACTCCCTGTCTTTGTAAATCACTCCTCCCTGTCGCGCCCCGAGGCAAGTCGGAAGGCCGGGCTGGACGTTTCGCCAGATACTTCCTGCCATCTACGATCCAGAAATTTAATGACTTGGCAACGCGCAGCGCAAAATCGTCTTAAAAGCTGCAGCAGGTTCACGGATTGAGGACATGTCGATTTCAAAAGGTGGCTCTCGCCTTAGCTTTGTGCGCATTCCTTTAAACATCAATGAGTTTCACGGATTGAAAGCGGGCCGCTTCCAAAATGTGGCTCTCGCCATATAGCCGCGCATGTTCGTCTCAAAAACTGTAAGGATGGATCGGGTCCAGAACGGCTCTTTTTCAAAATGCGGCTCTCGCCTTAGCGCCGCGCGCATTCGTTACTCAAAATTGTAAGGGCTTCACGGATTGAGGGCGGCTCCTAGCGCCGCGCGCATGTTTGTAATTGCAAGGGTTTCGCAGATTCCCATGGTTTACGTCCGAGAAAACGGTGATTGTAATGAACCAATATTGTCAGGGCGCAACAATTACATTGACCCGAGCGTCGAGGTCCAAGGAATGCTGTCCGGGCGCGATTCATGATCGTCAGAATGCAACGGTCAAGCTCATTCGTGGTGGTGAACAATTTAAAGCAATGTTTGGCACGCTTCAGGATCTTCAAACGGTTGTCTGCGTGGCCCCATAAGGAGCTCCACCGAAGATCCCAGTGGGACCGCCCGCATGCGTCCTGCACACCCAATACAACGTTTCGTGGCCCTTTTTCCCCTTGCGTTTCACCAACCCAATACAACGTTTCGTGGTCCCATAGGGAGCCCCACCGAAGGTCCCAGTGGGACCGCCCGCAAGCGTCCCGCACACCCAGTACAGCGTTTCGTGCCCCACTCCTCCCTCCCCCCTGCGTTTCACCCACCCACTACGGCGTGTCATGGCCCCAGGGGGAGCCCCACCGAAGGTCCCAGTGTGACCTCCCGCCTGCGTCCCGCACACCTAGTACAGCGTTTCGTGGTCCTCTCCTCCCTCCTCCCTGCCCTTCGCCCACCCAGTACAACGCTTCGTGGCCCCATAGGGAACTCCACCGACAGCCTCGGTGCCACCGCCCGCGTGCGTCCTGAAAGCGCAATTTGGCATTTACACCCACCCAGTACCCATGGGGAGCTCCACCGAAGCCCCCACTGGGACAGCCCGCATGAGTCACACACACACACACACACACACATTCACACACACACACACACATACACACTCTCTCTCTCTCTCTCTCTCTCTCTCTCACACAACACACGCACAACACACACACACAACACACACACAACACACACACACACACACACACTCTCAGTTTGGCATGTCCACCCACCGAGTACAACGCTTCGTGGCCCCTTAGAGCATTCCACCGAAACCCGCATTGGGACCGCCCGCATGCGTCCCACAAGCCCAATTCGGCATTTTCGCTCACCCAATACAGCGCTTCGTGGCCCCATGGGGAACTCCACCGAAGCCCCCAGTGGGACCGTCCGCTTGCGCCCCGAAAACTTAATTTGACATTTTCACCCGCCCAGTACAGCGCTTCGTGGCCCCATAGGGAGCTCACCGAAACCCCCAGTGGGACCACCCGCGTGCGTCCCACACACCCAATTTGGCATTGTTTCGCCCACCCAGTACAACGCTTCGCGGCCCCATAAGGGGCTCCACCGAAGCCACCAGTGGGACCGCCCGCATGCGTCCCGACAGCCGAATCCCACCAGCCCTTTAGGGCGTAGGTGGTCTAGAGAGTTTCCTCTGCCAACCCCCCTTCTTTCCCTTCGGGGAGGGGTTTACCCCTCCCCTTACCCCTCCCCACTGACCTGGACGGGGCGTTCCGCGACGCGTTGGGACGCCCAAGATGGCCCAAGACTGCTCCAAGAGCGAAAAGGCGAGAAAGCACAAAACATTGATTTTCCTTAGGTTTTGGAAGGATTTTGGCCTCTTGGGGGGGCCCAAGAGGCGATCCGAGGCACTCTAGAGGGGCGAGGCTAATTGGGGACCCCCTCTTCTTTGATAGATCTCCTCCAAGATGGCCCCAAGAGCGCCCCGAAGGCTCCCAAGAGCGCCCCAAGAGCGCCCCAAGAGGGCCCCAAGAGACCCC